TGTGTGTGTGTGTCATGTACCCCGGTATGTGTGTGTGTGTCATGTACCCCGGTATGTGTGTGTGTGTCATGCACCCCGGTATGTGTGTGTGTGTCATGCACCCCGGTATGTGTGTGTGTGTCATGTACCCCCAGTGTGTGTGTGTGTCATGTACCCCGGTGAACATTATCGATTTGTCTCTCTGCAGAATTCATCACAACATGAGCTGGGACTCTGGAGCCGGTGACACGGAGGAGAAGGTGAAGAGCGGCCCGTCGGTGGACTCGGAGGACCCGCAGAAGAGGATCCAGGCACGGAGGCTCCGTATCAATGCCAGGATAGAAGCCAAGAGACGGTGAGACACAACGCACATCCACCGCACGCATTCCCCATGGAGGGGACATTCATCACTGGGGCAACTCCAACCACTGCCAGCCCCCCCGCACTCTTCCTGTAGTGGAGGTCAGAGGAGGACTGGAGGTCAACACAACCAACAAGGACCTTTTGTGGTACGGAGGGCCTCCTCTGAGCTTCTGCAGGGTGACTGGTCTTGTCTCCGCCCCCTCCTGCAATAAAGACCACACACTGCTGCTCTGTCTCCTTGTGCTGGGTGGCTGGTCTTGTCTCCGCCCCCTCCTCTGTAATAAACACCGCACTGCTGCTCTGTCTCCTTGTGCGTGTGACTGGTCTTGTCTCCGCCCCCTCCTGTAATAAAGACCGGTCACTGCTGCTCTCTCCTTGTGCAGGGTGACTGCTCTTGTCTCCGCCCCCTCCTGTAATAAAGACCGGTCACTGCTGCTCTGTCTCCTTGTGCAGGGTGACTGGTCTTGTCTCCACCCCTCTTGTAGTTTTCTGCAGACAGCGTGCAGTGGGTGGGGCTTTCTGGGGCCCTCCCACAGCTCTTCTCTCTGCACAGGCTATGTACAGTACAGTGATGATGTCACTACTAGGTAATATCTGGGTTTGCAAAAGCATTTGGTGCACACAGAGTGGATTTCTATCCTTTGTGAGGAATTATTATTGAGGAATATATAAATATAAGTTTTTGTGCCCGGAGTTCGGCTTTAATGCCGACCTGTGGTTTGCTGATTGGTCCTCTGTAGTGGTGCCCCCCCCCCTACTGGAAGTGTCAGCACGTTGGTGTCAGCGGCCAATCAGATTTATTTTCTCGTCCGGCATTCAGGGAAGCGCTCGGCGAGGACCCGGCTTCCATATTGGATCAGAACGAAGAACAACGGAAGAGCTACAAGCAGATTGAGGAGAGCAGACAGGTGAGACGTGTACACGGAGCACTTCACATGTAGCATGTCTGAGGACTTACCGATCGTCAAACATTCCCGACATTCCTACATACACAGCCCGGTCAGGGGCCCCTTCACCCTGGTGTGGCCCCTCTCTGACATTCCTACATACACAGCCCGGTCAGGGGCCCCTTCACCCTGGTGTGGCCCCTCTCTGACATTCCTACATACACAGAACACCTCCTTAACTACAAAGAATGTAACAAAAAATGCAAACTAGAAATCCGGGAGCTAAAACTGAGTGCGAAAAGCATATCGCCGCAGATAGTAAAAAGAACCCCAAACAATTCACAGCGTAGACACTCCTGATATCAATGCACTACATGTGCCTAGGTATTCCTGATCTCAGAGCACTTCCTGTGCCTGGGCGCACCTGATCTCAGAGCACTTCCTGTGCCTGGGCACTCCTGATATCAGAGCACTTCCTGTGCCTAGGCACTCCTGATCTCAGAGCACTTCCTGTGCCTGAGCGCACCTGATCTCAGAGCACTTCCTGTGCCTGGGCACTCCTCAGTGCACTTCCTGTGCCTAGGCACCCCTGATCTCTGAGCACCCCCTGTGCCTGGGCACTCCTGATCTCAGAGCACTTCCTGTGCATAGGCACTCCTGATCTCAGAGCACTTCCTGTGCCTGGGCACTCCTGATCTTAGAGCACTTCCTGTGGCTAGGCACACCTGATCTCAGAGCACTTCCTGGGCACTCCTGATCTCAGAGCACTTCCTGTGCCTAGGCACTCCTGATCTTATAGCTGTATATCTGCATTGTGAGATCATTTTAGGCACTGCTGCCTCTGTCTGCTAGTTTTGTGAGATTTGGAGTAAGATTTGGGGATGTCACTACAGTGTTGCTCATTGTCCTCCTTGCTGGAGAGGAATCTGTACCTGGGGACCTGCCGTGCAAGGATCCCTCTGCTTCTGCTTCATCCATTCTGTGGATCTGTTCTCCTCCATCGCTCCTGCTGCTTCTTGATCATCACTCACACCTCCAGTCATCATTAAACATTAGGTGGACCTGCCTGTAGCAAGATGGCCGCCTCCTCACACAGAGACATAATGTAGGGGGGTCATGTGACTCTTTTAGGGGTAATAAAAATCAGCTGCAGATGGCCAGTAGAAATCACAGCTGACTCGTCCTCCGCCCCCTTCTTATCTTTTTCGGGGCACACCGTCCACAGTTCAGGTCCTCCTTATAATTGTACTTTAAGTGCAGCGATCAGCTTCCCTTGCCTGTACAGCAGCCAATGGCGGCATCATAGAGAGGACGCTCCCCGTCATAGTAAGGGGCCGCGCTTTTACCTTTCCATTTATCTTTTTTTATTACCACAGAGGCTCCACAAACTGGTGAGCGACGGCACGCAGCTGGTGACCAATATTCAGATCGCTGCAGACGCCAGAGAGACCCAGCGGAGGGCCGCAGAGGAGGAGCTACAGAGACTGAGGTAAGAGGCGGAGACAGACTATTCAGATCCAGACCTGTGCTCTAGAATGATACTCACCTGGGGGAGAATGAGGTGCATCCCACAGCCTCCTGGGATATCCCCAACCTATATCCAATGAGGCCGCAGGCAGGGGTGTCCCTAGCCATGGTGCACGCAATCAGTGGGGCGGGGAGATGTGTAAGGGCCATACAGATCTCTGCGCTCAGCTCTTAGCAACCTGGGGCGCTCTGGCCGGGACCCAGTGACATCACCGGTTGCCAGGGGCTGGGCAGAACACCGGCCAGAGCGTCCCAGGTTGCTGAGAGCTGAGCGCAGAGATGTGCATGGCCCTTACACTCTGGCCGGAAAGGGGGCGGCAAGCACACTGCATACATTGTACAGCAGAGCGGCCATGCCGCCCTGCCTGCTGCCCCTCCATGTGGCCCAATGAGATGCCACCTGAGGCAAAGAATAGGGACACAGAGCGGCCAGTGGGCTGAGCTGCTCGCGTCATCAGGGGCTCCGTTGCATGAACCCAGAAGAGGCTGGAAGCTCCCGATGAGTAAGGAGCACCAAGATGGCAGCACAGGACCCGGCCTTTGTCACCCGAACAGCGGATGACGGCAGGACAACAATGGATTCCCTGGACAGCTGAGCATGTTTATTGAGGACAACACTGCGCAAAAGGCAAGAAAGGTAAGAGGGAGGAGCAAGGTTCACCTGCAAGTAAACGCAGAATTTCTGTTTCTTAGATGCGCCGCCAACTACCTTTTGTATACAGTATTCAGCTCATGTATATACCGTATTTCTCTCCCGTTCATTGAAGGACACAGGGAACAGATCGGAGATCCTGTACTGTAGGGTAATATCGCCACCTGCAGGAGAAGGACGCTAGGCACAAAACTAAAGACCAATCACAGCCTAGGGGCGGCCCCTGCCGGTGGCCAAAACCCCCCACCTGCTGACAAGTCTCCAGTTTTTTGCCTAGCGTCAGGAGTAAGGAGCTAAGAATTTTTTTCGGGTATTCTTACCTGCTTCTTCCTGGTCTTTTTCCAGTGGAATCTTCTAGCAAGTGTTGTCCGGGCGACAGGCTG